TTTGCTTGTTTTTATAAACACTTGCCAAAATCCACATTTTCCTACTCGTGGAAAGAAAGAATTTTATATCCCCAAAATTCAAATCTGGGAGTCAGATGTGATCATCCCTAAAAGAGGATCATCATTTTCTGATTGTCTGTTAAACATCATCTTTCCAAGAGGAAGCTCCCTGATTCTATGCATATCTGGGGAAATGGCCTAGGAGAGCTGAGAATTTCTGTATATATAAACAAATGATTTAGAAAGTAAGTTGGATTGTTCTTCTCTGCTCTGTCCCACATGAACAGCTTTTTCCAGTGCATAAAAGGAGAAATAAGGGTCAGGTGCAATATGTGCTATTGTGCAAATATTTAACTTTATATGTGGATTTGAAATATTACTGATCCCCGTTTGATTCTCAGTGATATCTGGACTTTCCCTTTGGGATACTGCAAAACATAACGATGCTATTATATTCCCTGATTTGGATTTCTCATATCATTGCAGGCTGTACACTGTCCCTATTTTTTCCTGATACCATTGTTTCTCCCAGTGTTTTCAAGGAAGCAGCTGGGAGACCCTTTTAATGGTGTAGCACTTAACTGGACTAATTTCTCAGCAAATAACTTTCCACATGTCTCCATACCCTACAGAATGTCGGTATTGGCTTCTGCAGCTTGGTGCTCTTGTTTAGATTGCTGGAATTTTGTATCACTGTTTCACTTGCACATTTTGGGTGCCAGGCAGCTTGCTCTGCTGATGACCAAGTAAGTCTTTGATACTTTGATAATAGTTTTAGCAGCTCTTACTGAGAAGTTAAGATAATTACCCATTTTTCTTCTTTGTATTTACACCCCAGCCAACCTTACCTTTTGCTGCTTTCTTTACTATAACCCTGAGCAGTAAGTGAGGGCAGTGTTTCTCAACCTCAGCAACTTGAAGCTGTGTAGACTTCAGCTCCCAGAATTCTCCAGCCAGTACTCAAGTATCTTGTCACTTGATCACAGTTTTTCACAATGTTACCATCTCTTTAAAAAAGTACTTAGGGTAAGCAGCCAAATCAGGATACAGAGATACTTGTATCAGTTCACAGTAAGTTGAAGCCATTTCAGGAAACCAAAAAAATAGGCTTCCCTGGAGGGAGATGCATCTGCTTCAGGCCTTAAATTGCTAAAATAAGTTAATAATCTCCTAATAGCTTTCTGAATAAATCATGACAATATTTATTTCTTTATGCACAGCCTCAATTCAACTGGACCCTAGGAGGTTTACAACAACACAACAATAACAATACAAATGCAGTAACATAAAATATAAGCAATATATAACTCTAATAAAAATGAGTGTACAAAACAAAATCAGTCCCAAAGAAAAGCAGGTCTTTGCCACTTTCCAGAGGACATCAGAGCAGGTGCCATCTTTGTTTCAGAAGGTCAGCGATTCCACCCAGAGAACAGTCACCTTTGTGGGCCCTCCTGTCACACCTCTTGGTAGGTGGGGGACCCTGAGCAGACATGCTATGATTGTCTGGACCAGGAGGGCAGATTTGATCAGGGAAAGGCGCTTAACTTCTCAGGCCCTAAGTCATTTGAATGTTAAATTATAGTTTTCAAGACTTCTCTTTCAGCTCTGAGCTCTCAAGGGTTTCAGCCTATTGGTAAGGCTCCCAGCTGATTCTAGGCAAGCACAGCGCTACAGTTGAAAACCCACAACTGGAGACCCTATTCCTCCTACCTGGAGCAACAGATGCCACCAAAGACACAGTAGTTTTTGTATTTAGGTATTTAGGTATTCTTTTCTGTTACAGCCAACCACGGTTTATGTGCCTTACCAAGTCGATGGAGATGCAGCAGTCGCTACTGAACCCAATCCTCTTCCTTCTGCACCAATCTATGACAATTTGGTTACCAAGCCACAGTAAAAAAACACCAGGAAAGAATTGTGAGAAGTGTTGCAGCAGAGGTCTCAGGAGGAGCAACGCATTTCATGTTGCTTTATTTTGTTCTCTAGCTAGTTTGTCTTTCAGTTGCAGCCTTTAAGCACCAATTGGTGTCGAGTTTTTACCCTGCTT